AATTGGGAGTAAATGGCAAAGAAGACTATATTAATCTTGTATCAACCGAAAAATGGCCTACCAGTATAATGAATATACCAATAACAATCGAAAAACCGAAGTTTATTCCGGATTGTTTTGCATTAGTCATCAGATATATACCTCGCGGTATGGATTTTGAATTTGTAAAAGAAGAAATATCACGATCCATCGCATCAGTTGTAAATCTAAAGAGGATTCAATATTCATACAATCGAAAAACCGATGACTATCGCTTTCACGTTAAAGATTTACAAGAGTATAATCGAGCGCTCAACATGAGACGTATCTCAATTGGAAATGTTATAGTACCAATAACACAATTTTTAGAAGGTAATAAATTAACATATTGTACTCGCTGTTGGCGTTTAGGGCATATAAGAAATAAATGTTCAGCTCCAACGGCTCGCTGCCGAATATGTCTACAAGAAATTACTGATATTCAAAGACATAACTGCTCTCAACAGCCAAAATGTGCTCAATGTGATGGTAATCACCATTCACTTAGTAGTCAATGTGAATCCATAAAAGCATACAAAATGCAACTAAAAGAAGAAGTCGATAACGCACTCGCTCGTGGTGTAATACATAGATCAGAACCAAATAAGCAAGTACCAATTTTCGATTCCGACGACTTCCCATCTCTATCAAATTTTAATCGAAACAAAGTAGCAGCTTGGGGATCAAAGCAAGTACCAACGCATCAACCAACAACTGAATGCACAGAAATAGCAGGTGTTCTTACAGCATTAAATAAACAGTTGTTAATTATGACTGAAACAAATACATAAATGGCGAAAAAGTTCGAAGAAATGGACATGCGTATGAAACACGATGCAGAAGTTTTGGAATTATTACAGAAAACTATGAAAAGTACGCTATGTTCAATACGTGAAGTGATGGAGAATGCAGTGACTCCTCTATGTGAGCTAGCGAAAATACAAGTAAAAAGAAAACATCTACCTTTTACAACTATTCTGGAAGAGTTACAAGCTGGTGCAAGTAATAGGTTACCGAAACAAGGTCCCGACACGCATAAAGATAGTCAAACAAGCAAAGATATAACCACATTATCTGCATCAAGCAATACAAATAGTCGATGATCGTGAATTCAACTCTCGGTCCAACAGCTAAGAAATTTTTTCCTTCTTTTCTTCACACTAAACTTGTAGAAAGAAAGATGCAATCATTAACACAATTAGATAAGTGGAACTTCACAGAAAAAGACAATGAGTTTACTCGCTGCCTCCTAAATGAGTGGTACTCTATTAGTACATTATCCTCAGTTTTACAGCAATGGGAGGAGCATAATAATAAGTACTTGCCGTCCGAAAAAGTTCCTCTGAATATTCTATGCTATAATGTAGAAGGTTGGGATACCCGTCATTTAGAAGTAGTAGATCTAGTTTATAAAGTTGATGCATCAATTAGTGTTTTGACAGAAGTTGGTGAATTATGGAATAAGTTTACGATACCTAACTTTAATACGTTTCACCAACAAGGTACAAACCGAAGTGGTGGTGTGTGTGTTTCGGTAGGAAAACATTTAAGAGCTACGCAAGTTCAATTAGACATCGAAAACACTGTAATTGTAGACGTTTTTAATCTCTCTAATCCGATTCGAATCATCGGAATATATTGGCCTCAATGCCAAGAGCGTAACCTCGACGATTTAAGTCCGTTTATAACACAAGAAACAATTATTACAGGAGATTTCAATGCGTCATTAGATGAATGGAATAGTATAGCGTCGGATAAACGTGGTAGAATTTTGAAAGAATGGATAGAAAAAAATAATCTTACATACATTCCTTCTTCTTCACATTCGTCAAAACGTTCCCTGAGAAATATCGATCTCACTTTCTCAAACATTGACGGAGTAAATGCTGAGACGTTGTTTTTTGGTACCAGTGATCATTGGCCTATTGTAATGACGTGCGAAAACATAGGTTATGAAATCAAAAATTTTTTCCCTTGTGTTAGGTGGCATATTTTTGAAGGAATGCTAGCACTTCTTCAAGATTTTTGGATCAAAGAGCAAGTGATAACATCAGTGGATGAGTGGTATAATAACTACACTCGATTCCTTGCGGCATAAAAAAACAGAGTAACCGTGTGGAAGAAAAAAGAAAAATACCGACCATCACTACCACCTCTCATAATAGATAAACTGAAAAAGCTTAGAAGAGTAAGAAATAAATATTACAGAGAGAGAAAGAGCGGCTGCGAAAATGAAGAGATACGCGTTTTGTTAAGAGTGATAAATCGTGAAGTAGTAAGAAGAGAAATTGCACTACATAAATCGTCTTGTTGGCAATCCTTCTTGTCAACAATCAGAGAGAAATCTGATCGACCAGAAAAAGCTTTTTGGTCTCACGTGTCTCGTGTATACAAATCCAAAAGCTTGCCTTTTTCAAAACTAGACATCGGACAATCCGTAATATCAGACAAAAAAGGAAATAGTTGATACACTTTTTTCATACTATGAAAACCAGTTCAAAAAAACAGAAATAAAAAAAGACGGCCCAAATGACACGAAAATTGAAGAAGAGTATAGAACACTACTAAATGAATTAAGTGTTTCAGAGGAAACAGTAAAACTCACAAGTGCTTTTGAAATAACAAAATTCATAAAAAAGCTTAAACCAAAAAAGTCATCAGGGTTTGACCAAATATCGAACTTTATGATTAAACTGCTTCCACCGAGTTACATTACATGCTTGACAAACTGTTTTAATGTATGGCTTAAAGAAGGTAGATATCCAGAGCAGTGGAAATTAGCTAAAATAGTAACATTAAATAAATTAAAAGCAGGTGTTCCGCGTTGTGATCAAACTAGACCTATATCACTTCTTGCAACACATTCAAAACTCTTTGAAAAAATGATGTTGGAAAAAGTACGATATTGGGCAGAAACGAATCACTTAATCCCATCCGAACAATCAGGGTTTCGTCCCGGATGTCTTCTTTCCACAAGAGTACTTTCTATTTATCAGGAAGTAGATAATAATATGGCAGCCAATATACCAACGCTAGTCATATACGTTGACTATCAGAAAGCCTATGACAAAATGGGGCATGCAGCACTAATAGTTAAGTTGAATCGCTTGGGTATGCCTTACGGCTTGCTCAAATTTTGTGTATCATGGTTGAACGATAGACAAGCATATGTTGTCTTCGGAGAGCAAAGTTCGAATAAATTTAGAATTTTTTCGGGTCTTCCACAAAGTAGTAGCTTAAGTCCATATCTCTTTATCGTCTTTCATAGTGATCTGACTACAGTTCTTGGAGCACACTCGGCTCACCTTTTTACACATGACCTCAATATACTCATCCGACGCCCAATATCGAAAAATTTTGCACTTATGATGGAGTTTCTAAAGAAAGAAGAGACTAAAGTATGCAATCAAATCGCAGCGTACTCACGGAAATGGAAACAACCAATAAATGTTAGTAAAACAGTAGCACAAATCTTTTTCTCACAAGTCACAATACCCCAAATAAATACCACTATGGATGGACAGAAGATCGAAGTTGTTAAATCCTTTAAATACTTGGGTTTTACCTGGACAAGTAAGCTGTTCTTGGAACCAACTATCGATAAATGTGTAGAGAACATACAGAAATCTTTCATAAAATTGAAATGGTTAAGAGCAGGCAACACATTAACCACAGCAGTGTTGAGAACATGTTTCGTCGCCTATAGCTTCCCGCATTTCGCTTGGCTCTTTCCTCTTTTTCCACTATTACCCAAAACGCATCAAGAAACTCTAAGGCGCAAATTCCGATTAGGAATGAGGATTGTTCATCGGTGTCAATATGTACCGGAACACATTCTATTCGAAATGATAAATGAAAATACTTTAGATTTCTATGTAAAAAAATACATAGCAAAAATGCTAAAGCAAATGCACACTTCTGGTTTAGGAAAATCCCTCTTTTATAATGATATATTTTACTGGGACGATTTTAAAAAAAGAAAAGGAGATCATTTAGGTCATCTATTTCGAATGAAACGAGTGAAAAATTTAAAAGAGAGACACGAAGTATTTTTAATAAAATGGATTGAATATATACAATAAGCACATAGGCGTGTTATGATTGTATCTTTCATCTATGTCATCAGTAGTTTTATTTTATTTTTTTTTGCAGTTTCTTTCTGTATCTCTCCTTGCTCTATCTTATCCTTTTATCCTTTTCTTTTCTTTTTTTTTTCTCCTTTTTTGTTCCTCTCTCTTTTTCTTCTTCTCTTTAATGCATCCCCCTATATGACACGATCTCATAATACTTTGTCAAGAATAGGCCAACTTGCATATTTATAGTTATGCTTTAAAAAAAATGTGATTTGTGCTGTTAAAGAATGTTTTAAATCCCTACATAAGCGCTTCCGAGCGTAACAATAAAGAGAGCGTATGATAAAAAAAAAATTAATCGTCACAGTAGAAATTCAACAATTGATTCGTACAATCAAACACTAATATTGCATTTTTTTAACAGAAAAAAATCTGCTTACGTTTTAAATGTCACTTTATCTGAATATTTGCAAGAAACTAGACTAAATTTCGTGCAACTATTAAATTATTTTAGAAAATGAATTGCTCTCATAAAGTTTGTTGAATTGTAATAGTTTATCAACAAAGATAACATATATACGAGTATTTCGGACAAATACTAGATTTTTCAGCTCGAAGTTAAGCGAACAAAGTTCAATCTGTATATTTAATAATGACTTATCGGAACACTTTTTACCTACTTTCACAAATATTTGAGACGAATATCGAAGCTTTGAGCTAAATATTACAAAAAAAATTGTCGATAAGTATTGATGATATTGCTTATGAGTAACGACACATGTTTGCTACCACGTGGCTTGTTTTATTCGTAATTGGGCTTATATGATAATATTCATAAATATGCTGTTAGGTATTTGTATGAGAAGGTAAAAAATTCAAACACAATAATGATTGATTGATTGATAGTGAGATACAGCGCATCAATAAATTTAGTAGCTTCAACATTTACCTTTGAATAAAGATGAAGAACAAACAAAATGAAAAGGCTTGTTTGCACTATTAACACAACGTGACTGCTTCAAATTGTTCTCAATCATAAAAATGATAAAGAGAGAATTGAGTAGATAACTGCTACAAAGTACATTAGAATTTTATCAAAATTCAAGGTTATATTTTTATTTCAAGCTTTCGGTGAACACTATCACCATCGTCAGGAAAAAGATAACCAGAGAAACAAACAATACACATAGATATATATAGTCAGCTGATAGTTGACAAGAAGACAAAGGAAAGAAAGAAATTATATATTCGCGAATATATATGTTCGAAGAACATCTTTTTTGGCCCATAAAACCATGTCCTTTTAAGGACATGTAGATATTAATGATAAATAAATAAATAATTAAATAAAAAAGTAAGTAGATAAGTAAAATGAATGACGATGACTAGTAGTTAGGTATTAAGATAGATATTAAGGAACAGTTAATGTTTAAGGTTAAATATATAGCGATAAGCTGTAAGTAATAAATAATTTAGTGTTAGGTTTAAAAGGAATAGTATGCTGGATGTATATATAATTGATGGAAATAGTTGATATTATAATCTAACCAAATATTCTAAGTTTATGCTTTACATCATTTAGTGAATTACCATGACTATAGTGTGTATAAAGACTTTCTTTTATTATTCTACGTTTCCAGTTCGTTTCTAATGCTAATGTTTCTACATTATCGAAATCAAAAGAATGATGTTTTTTAAGGACGTGTAGTGCAACGTGTGATTTTTCATTTAGTTTTCGAATATCTTTCTTGTGTTCATTCATTCTTGTGTTTCTTTCTCTGTTGGTTTCACCGTAGTAACTAAGATTACAATCTTTACAAGGTATTTTATAAATTAATTTCTTAAGCTTCTTCATTTCGTCATATCCTTTTTGTAGTGGTAAAAAAGTACTTTTTAATGTAAATGTCTTTTTAAAGGCAATATAAACATCAATATGAGGTATAAGTTTTTTTACAAATCTTCTTAATTTTTGCACTTACGAGGGAACCGTCCCAACTGATCCACGCCGATTTTGCTCATATTTTGCCCATATGTAGGGGTCATCATGCTAAGAAAAAGCCTAAGAGGATTTGTGCACATGCGGCTTCTTTCAATAGTTATGAAGTTTTTAACTTTCCTATCCAGCAAACGATCATATCACGAAAACACATGTAACTCAGTAACGCATGAGTTTCAAGATGAAAATTTTTTTCACGTTATAGCTTTAGCTATNTTCTCGAGATATTGAATACTAAAGAAAAGCCCTTTTTATGAGCTTTTTTTTTTGAATATTCAATGTCTCAAGAAGGAACCATGCATTTTAACTGAAGCTTTCAGGATACCCTAAAGATCATAAGACCTACTTATGGGCAAAACTTTAGGTAGAAAGTCCGTAAAATGGTCATAACTCCAGAAGGAAGGCCTATGAGGACGAATCCTTTTAGGCTATTCCTAGTCTCACTGAGTCCTACTTATGGGCAAAATATCACTTCGATCGGCGATTAACAGTTGGGACTGTTCCCTCGTAAGTAATGTATTTTAAGATGATGTATGTATGTATGTTTTTTTTACAAATGATTTTATTAGTGATGATATATTCTTTAAAGCTAATCATAGATGAATGAATTCTCACAAGATAATGATCCTGTTTTATTGGATTGAGATCAAAATGAATGTAGTTCAGCTTAAAGATGAACAACTACAATTTTGTATTTTTAAAAGTCCTACTTCAACTCTGATTATTCAAGGACTCCACAATTTCTCTAACCTTATTTTGGAAGAATAAATTTTTTGATGTTGCCTATTGAAAACAATGTTGTCTTTCTTTATGCTTCTTGTTTTTATTAGACAAGTGACTCATCTAGTTGAGAGTTTAAACAAAGCTAAATTTCTTGATCTCTAATGAGAATTAAGCTAACAACTAAACATAAAAACTAACTATTTTCAAATTGATTGATATCAGGAAACATTGGACATGTTTTACTTCCATTTAATCTAAATAATTGATCTACAAGTTTATCAGCAGAGTCTGTATATGATGTAGCCATAAGTCCATTGATATTGTTTGCTATTTGCGGATGACTTAATGAAGTAAGTGAATAAGGCATTGATTTAACCAATGAACGATTCTGTAAGAAACAAGTGATTTGAAATACAATATTATTAGTTATTATTCACTGGTGATTGTTGTTGATGACTTTCAGAAAATATGTTGTCGTCTGTTTGATCTTCATCCAATGATTTATATCTGGATCCTACTTCTAGTGAATTCGTTCGATGTAAAGTAGGCTTATTTGGTTGATGATACTCAATGTATTCTAAATTTATTAATAGAAATATAATTCTTAAGAAAAATAATGAAAAAGATTTACCAGGTTCGGTTAAATATGCTTCGGTAGCAAACTAATAAAAATTAACAAGGAAAATACAATTAAATATTTGCATTCTATTCAATATTTTTATTTAAATGTAGAACTCACGTACATAAACATCCCCATCGTACATACGTAAATAATCAAGCACGTCTTGTCGATCTTCCCAGCTAGTTAATGCCTACAAATCAATAAAATATCAATGAAATTTAGTATTTCAAATGAAACTTTACTTGAAAATACTCAATTTCATAATCGTTTAAGTCCGTCATTGTAATTTGGGTTGAAACTAAACAGAAAAAATAGCTTGTGTTATTTATTTACATGCATCTATATCCTGCATAACATAGAAACGAAGGTAAAATAACATTAATCAGAACAATCCGTTGGGTGTTATAAAGGGAGATGCACGTGCTACAGGTAAAGCGACTTGAAGGATAGAAGTAAGCATTGTGATGATTAAAAAAAGGAATATTAGTTTGAAAATGATCATGAATAAGATGTAAAAATAATGATATATCATCGATGAATATGTGATGATTGTTTATTTATCTAACTGCATAGAAAATCATTATTCTAAGATTCATTGATGAGATCAAAAATCGGGGGTGGTGAAACATTTTGAAGTTGAATGAGACTCCCAATGGGAGTGTGTGTGCTTTAACTCAAGGATACCGAACAAATGTGGGTTAAATTAAAGGTATCACTGCCCAAGTAACAAGCTTAAAATATGACATGTCTATGATGTGTGTGGACTGAAATACACGAGTTTCAAGGTATATACAGGAATATAGAAATAATATTTTTCCAGAAAGAATCGAATACAGTCAATTCGTAAAATTTTTTAGCATATTGACAGAAAAAAATTCTTCTTATGAAACAGTACAAAGTGGATCTCATTTAAAATGGTAAATATCACAAAGAAGCTAGCGCTTGAACCAGAAACATAGGAAGAATAATCAAGACTGGACTTTAAAACAAAAAATAATATCAGAGAGAGAACATGATCGTTATCACGAAGAAACTTTGAAATAACACATCTTAGATATTTTGACAAGCATGAAAACAAACATTGAGTTATTTGAAACTTTTAAATGTTCGTATCTTTGCCATCTTTATACGGTAAAGAAAACTAATGTTTTATATACAGATTATTGATTATATTCGTTACTTTAAGGATGTGGGTGTTAATCTTCTCTTAGCTGATATCCACACTCACACCCACACCCCACTATTAAAACTATCATTTTCAGCACTTTGGTATCATTTGTATTACAATTAATTAATGACACACTGTTGGCATTAATTTTAACTCTAATACATATTCTATCCGCAACATTATCTCTGAGAGTGCACCCTCGAAAACTTCCTATAACAGAATAAAGGTGTTTTTAATACTCGTACGTGCCATTTATAATATTAGGAGACGTTCGAGATCTAGTTGTCAGTAATATATGTATTGGGATTTAAAAAAATGCTGATTGAATGCTAACAGCTTCGTAAGAATTAATTCAAATGTTAATTATACCCTAAGGATGATGACCAATATGAACAGAAATGTTTAAATCATTAGTATAAAGAAATGCTAATACTAATACAACATCCTTATCGTTCATGGAAATTTTAGAATTGAGTTTTTTATAATTTCAAACTGATTATATCAAGTTCATAGCTGATAGCATGTAGTAATGTCAAGATCCTTTTTTTTTGAGATGATGACACTGTTTTTCATCATTAATCGTTATTTTTAACATTGAACTTTGTAAGTTTTAATAAGCTGTTGAATAATGTAGAATTGCATTATGTTCATAAAAAACTCATAAGACAAAAAAATTGCAGATATTACAATTATTTTCCGAAAAATTACAAGGATAGAAAACGAAATATTGATGAAAGAAAAAAATTATTTGTCTTTTTTGTCTATTTCTAAGATCATAATTATACAAAGAACACACCTACTGTTCTACTAACTAAAACATTCACATTTTATATACAAGAACAATATGTAACAAGACATTAAATTCCAGTAGAGAATTGCGGTTTTGGTGCACTAATATTTCTCGATACTATTGGCGGTTTTTTTCGAATCTTCTTTTTTTTCTTTTGTTATTGCTCATAAATAGCAACCTGCCGCCAGCTGTGAATCAATGTTTGTACACTATTTTCAATCTCTGCTTGGTCTTTCATCGAATTGAGCAAACCTCGATGTCTACCCATGCACATCAAGAGTATTAATATTATCATGCTTGGTACACTAAGCACAGTGACATGTTTCACTGCTGAAGATCGAAAATCCATTAAAATGCCTCAACCACTAAAAGTGCTTATGACCTGAAATACTATACGAGAACAGAGATACTTCAAAAGCACAAATAAGAAACATAAAGACTACTAGCGAAGTTTGAGTCGATATCATGAGACTGAATAAACTGAGTACAGCATGTCGAGAAAAAATGATTAACAAACGTTTCATGCGAAGAATAGAAACTTGTCTATGTCTTGTAATCTCATGATGGAATTTTTCTACCGTATCGTTTTTGTTAGATATTATACTTAATTGAAGATGAAAATGCTTTTCATTTCTGCAAAATATCGTTCAGCATGTGCTTTTGTTCTTAAAGCTTGTTTTAAAAGATAATTTTTCATTCGATCAACTGGTAAAAAAATTTTGATACTGGAACGCTGACTATTATTCGATATATTGTTTTTAAGAGTTTACTATGTTTGTAGTAAAAACTATTCCATTTCGAATGGTGTTTCATTTCTTGTACACAACTAACCAAACATGAGAAGAAAATTTTTATTACGAACTATGGAAAATTTTTTTTGGAGCGATATGTATGATAGTACGTAGAGTAGTCAAAAAGTTCTTGTAACCGTACTCTAAAATTTCATTCGGACTATTTTTATTCCTGACGTTGATCTACACTAGTAAAGACAAATGTCGCGTATTAAATTACCAGTACGAATTTTCACAAGTGTGTATTGCGGAAAACGCCGAATGAATTTTTTCAACACCTCTGTTTTCAGATGGATAGAATTTGCATAAACTCATGTGTAAAAACTCGTTTGTTATTAGCTTTAACAGCTACAAAATGCATGCTGAGTTAACTACTGCTTATAAACAAGGTGCTGTTTCATACCATGCAGTTACTCATTGGTTTGATCAATTTTCCAGTGCACGAAAGTCGTTGGAAGATTATCCTCGAAATGATCGTCGAATAACAGTCGTTACTCAACAAAATATTGTTGATGCTACGGATCTGGTGAAGGATGATCCGCAGATTGGTATTGATTAAATTGCTACTATCTTAGACATATCACATGATAGTGTAGATACCATTCTCGAGCAACATATTTGCTTAAGAAAAATATTTTCAAGGTGGCTATTTCATCAACGCATTCAACCACAATGAAAATGGTGTGTAGATACTTGTATTGAAAGTTTATACAACTTTGAAAGTGGGTGTGAATGTAAGTGTGGCGTGTGGGTGCGTGCAGGTGTAGACTGCAAGAAAATACAGAATCACATCCACACCCACACCCATAATCAAAATGCATGCTATATAGGAAAAAATACTTTTTTTGAAATGAGTAACTGAGTGTGGAGGTATGAGTAGGGGTGCAAATTCGGTTGTGAATGGAGCTGTGGGCGTGGAAGTAGCATAGCCCTTATGCCCATACCCACACCCTCAATGCTGTGATGAACATACCTGAATCATTCATCGAGTTATAATTCTAATTAAGCAAAATTTATCTTTTGTCGTTAAAGTTGATATGAGGATTTGAGGAAAAAAAGAGAATTGGGAACGTATATGTCTTCTATTTTTGTTTCAGAACCACTCCTACACTCTCAAGAGTCCACAAAAAATTTAATCCATTTTTCTGATGTGCGGAGGTGGTCATCCTAACTATAATGTTTTTTTTTCTATAGGTTAGTGATGTTTGATTGTTTTTTTTTAATGTCAGAAAAGTTCATCAAGAATGATAATGATCGTCTTTGTCTATTATTCAAGCTTTAATGTTTCTATGAAATTCGAATACAAATTCGATGATATCCGCATAAATTTGTAATTTCGTTTAAAACTCATTCAAATTTATCGAGTTCGTTGATGACTGAATTTTGCGTTGATGATAATATGTAAATTGAAACAATTGAAGAACATTCATCAATATACCAGAAAATCCTAAAAACAGTAAAAGTCCAGTCATTGAGATATAAATTTTTAGAGTAAATGCCAAAACGATCACTGTCATTCCACCCAGGGTGCATAGAATAATCAAAACTAGGCCGAACCATTTACGCGACAAGCAACAAAGCCATTTGAAACTATGACACACAAGAGAGAAGACACAAGAGCCGATGCCCACTTGATTGAGTATAGCTACGGCATTTACTTCCTGGTAGACCCAGACGTAACAGATCGCTTTCAATGATGTCAAATTCGTTAATGCTTGACCAGGCTCACAAGTAAGTCTTGCATTTGAAATCATGCTTTTGAAAATAAAGCAATCACTTCTCTTTAGCGGACAAATGTCGCGTTCAGATAACAGTCGCACTTGAAAGATCAATTCATAAATGAATAAGAGTGCAATGATCCATGCTATAGCTGCCAGTTGAACAACGAGTGATAGACGAAAACGTCGCGAAGATAGAAAATCTATTTTAATACCATATAAGTTCATTATAAATTGTTGTTTATCAGATCGAGTAATGGCAAACTGTTTTGCAATAAAGTTTGCTAATAATCGATTTGGTAATAAAAGCATTATAAAGATTTCGAGAAAAAGAACTCCAAATGCGATTCCAAATAAAATGGATCGATAAGCTTCAAACTCGATCATTATGATTTGACAGTATTCTCAAATGCAAATAAATGATTGAAGTTGCAGCAGTTTTGGCTTTATCCGGGATTGTTTTTCTATTCTATATCGTTCATTGATTATATATAAAGTTACGGATAGAGAAGAGAAAGAAAGCAGAAAATGGTGAAATGATGAAGGAAGACAATCTAAACCTAAGGGCAGAAGAGGTAAGAGATAAAATAATTACTGATGCATAGTTTCGGAGAAGGCAGGAAAGACAAGACGTGACAAGCAGCGATAAATGGAGGTGAAAAAACATTCATAGACAATCTTTGGAACGATGTAGGAAAAACTAACAACAGCACAAGAAAAAAAAGTCGAGAAAGCCACACAACTGGGATTATATTACTATCAAGCGTTGTCAAACAGCATTTAGGTCGAAAAAATTAACATTCTTTAAAAATATTCATATAATTCGAACTAAGGATCTGAATAGATTCAACAGCTTATCATGTTGGTCACAGTACTGTCAAACTTGAAACTTAAATTCAATTGAATTTCAAGTTGCAAGTTTCAAGTAAGTTGTCGAGTTTCAACTCTCAAGCTTCAATCGTTTCGTGGCACCCACAGCTAATGCGATGCGGTGTGTGTGTGCTATCACGTGTGTCCATCCTTTCGTGACAAGAATTGCATAACTTCAAATTTGAAACTTGAAAACTCACTTGAATTCAAGTTTAACATGTATGGTCGCTCATGGTCATATTGCCTCAAGAACGGATCTCATATATGCTTTCACATTGCAATTCTAGGATTGCTGCTTCCAAAAGATTTAGAATAGATATATATGGGTATAATCAATAAAAGCAAAATAAAACAGCAAAAGCTGATAGTGTGATGTACGTGACTAAACAGGAGAAAAATTCAAAGTTGTCTAATCTAAAATTTGGGCATACAACACAAATAGTATGAGCTAATATCGACTTTATTCCTTTAAATTCAAAATAACAACCATAAAAAGCAGTACCAAAATATTGCGTCATTGAATTTCTGAAGCCAAGCTTTTTTGCAATTTTTGTAGGCGATTTTTTGGGTGTGGGTGTGTTGGGGGTAACTGTGGGTGCTAGTGGTGTTGGTGTGGTGTGGGTGGGTACTTGTAATGTATGTGTCGATTTGAAGATAAGATCTATACTCACACACACACACCCACGTCCACACCCACCCTGAATCATGTATGATCACGCTTTAATAAAATGTCAATCATTTTACTACACTGTTCATCCATATTGTTTCGCTTGAGTGTCTAAGATGTTTGGGAAAACGATGGAGTTTCTACGATGCCAAACTTCTTGGAATATAATGACAGTCTGGAAGTACAATGAGAATCCTATGATCAAGTAGATTCTGGGAGCAAAAAATTCGCCGGTTTCTCCTTGAAAAATGAGAGTCGGAATTAAAAAGACCGGATTTACAATTTTACAGTGTTAGTTGCGTCAAAAGTATAATTGTTGTCAAATAATCTAATGTTTTCATATTATATTAATATAATTGACACTTTTCCCTGATTTATAGAAACCTGACACGAATATCTGAAAATAAAACTTTCATAAGTATTGCTGGCATGTTCAAAACGTTCAATCTCAGCTGAAAAATACAATAGATAATAATAAGAAACTTCAAGAGAATCATGTGGGATATATTAGGTCAGGATTCGAACATTTCCTGAAGGGATTCACTCCAAAGAACTTCCAAACTAGTCCAACATCTTTCCAAGCGTGACTCGACAAGCTATATTCACGCATGGTATTAATTGTCTATGAACCCTCTCAAATAATCGAGATTCCTCCAATACCATCAAAAAAAATCGTGCTTAATGCAGCCGATTCCACCAGAAACAGTCGCAATTCACCCAAAATAACTTTGCAATTGAACCATCAACCTTTCCAAGCAGATCTTGACGCACTCTATTCAATGAATACATTTGCTTCCAGAGTTGATGCAGCCTTCCCTTCCCAAGAGGCTGATTCTCCTCAAACAGCTGGTTTTTTCGGGAAGATCTGTCACGGTTCACCCAGGAAAACTTTCCAACTAAATCATTCGAGGCTGGCGTGGGTGTGTAAAGTTATTTAGGTTGAATCAGGTCGATTTACGGTGAAAAGGGCTACATTTAGCACGATTTTGTGATGGTATTTGAGGAATCTCGGTCATTTGAGAGAGTTCATAGAGAATGAATACCATGCATGGATATAGCTTGTTGAGTTACACTTTGAAAGGTGTTTGGCTGGTTTGGAAAGCTCTTTAGAGCGAATCCTTTGAAGAAATATTCGAATCCTGACCTAAGATATCCTACCTAAATATATGCCCATCGAAAATTTCAACTCAATGGATTGAATCATTCTTGATTTATGGTGCTATCTAGACCCTCCTGGGTTGAACTGTAGGATTTTAGAACATTTCATAAAATATGCGCATAAAAACGAGAGTTCAATATTCTTAGAGTTTATAAAGCTTTTCCTTTGATAATAATATCTTCAATTAAGCAACATGTGCGAACCAGTTGATGGAGCAGGTTCGGTCACCACGAACCTGTAATGACTGATATGCGAAATTCAATTGCAAGGCTTAACATTGAAAAAGTAAATCCATGCTATTTTTCTTAGACAAATATATAAAAGCTTTATGATTTGAATGTGTCTAACTCGAGTAGGCCTTCTCACTAGCAAAACATACGAGTCATCATGAAACTCAATAGGTTGTAAAAAGCATTGTGTAGTGGAACATCATTCTAATGTTAACCCATTTTAGATCTGCGTGAATATTCATAGAATCAACTCGCTGAGCTCAATCTACTGATGGAATCAGTTTCCGATTTGGAGAACTTCGTAGGTCTTGGCATCTTTTACAAATATCTCTTCATGAAGTTATTATCGTTGTTAAAAATTAAATTTTCCACTTAAAGATCTCCTGCACATATTTCCTTTAAGCCAATTTGTATTAATACCATTTTTTAAATAAAGATAAAAACATAGAGATATCAGTGAGTACAGAATCGAATGTAGTTAAAGAACTATCTATAATGTACATTCGGTAGTTCAAGTCTTTCTTATTCGAAATTAGGGTGTGGATGTGCGAATGCGTGTAAGTATATTCTTTTTCCACACCCCACACCCACACTCTTAATTAGAAAACAGCGTATAGACAAAAATGTTTGCATATTTCTTTTAGTGTCCTCAATTTTTATTATGATTGAATATTTGAGGGTGTGTGGCTATGGGTGGGTGTGGGTGGCTATGAGTGTGGGCGTGAGTGTGGGTGCTGTTCTGACCAATATCCACACTCACACCCATACCCATACTCCATCCACACCCACCCTCCCAGAGTTCCCTGATATCCCACAGTTCCCTGATATCGTTGACATGTTTTAGTTTCTTAGCGCTCATTCGTGTTAATTGATTTTTGAGTTTCCAATTCCCAAAGAGTTCCCGCACTCTGGGAACTAGGCCAGGTCTCATTCGATGATACTTCTTTTCTAATATTTCTTTCTTATTGTTATTAAACTTAGAATATATGTATCATTCTGATCTAAATATGCAGCAATCATTCAACATTTTTTATATTATAGAAAAATGAAATAAAATCAAAATCATTGGCTTGATACATCTTAATTTTTCACAAATATCTCTCTCACTATTTTTATTTTTGTTATCAAGAAAAAAAAATTATTATCTTGTATTTCTGTCGATTAAAGTTTTCAATCATCTGCATCTTGATCGTATTATATAAGAATGCAGTTTATATTTGATTTCGATGCAATCATTTCCAACCATGCAGATGTATCTCGAGAAAAACTAGATAAAGAACGAATTTCGACATGTTTTAATTTTGGCATATGATTAAGTATAAATAGACAAGCATTCATTTCATTAGTACAACATTGAAGTTTTTCGATATTTGAAAATATTTTACTTAACTTATTTAATTCGTCAGATTTAATGGAGTCATCATTATAATCGTCATCGATGTCTAATACATTAATCATTTTATTCAAATATTGGCATAATTCATGATTGATGAGAAATGATATTAAAGTAGACTTGTTAATTGCTATTGAAGACAATTGTGGTGCTTGTTTCAGTATCTCTAATAATTTAATTGATGATATAATATTATGCATACTTTTGATGTCTAAATGTTTAAGATTAGACAAATTGATAATCATTTTTAGCGATTCGAAAACTGTATCTTCTGGTTTTAGATTAAAATCAAGTTTTTTAAATAAATTCGATTCTTTATATAATGTTAATGACGTAACATTTTGGAAATAATAATATTCAGATTTATTATCTAAGATATTCGAAAACAGAATTAAATTTGTAACATTCTCAAATATTTTTGAATTATTCATCAATTTAATACCATATCGTTTTGTATCTGATTGTAGTACGTATCTATTCCATACATAGGTTATAGTATAGATGAATGCTGCATGTGAATTGAATTGACAATTTGTATACCAGTAATGTTGTTTATGCCAAAAATCAGTTTGAAATTGATGAAATTTATTCAAAATGACATCATAATCACCTCGAATCCCAACATCAAATTTAAAGTTGAAAATATCTAAATGATGAAGTGAAGATTCAATTAAATTTTGCCAACGTTCACCATCAATTATATCTATTTGATATTCAACATCTATTGTTAAGATTTTCAAATTCGGTGTTTGTTGTAACAATAATTCAAAGATTTGAAAATTAGCAGTTGAATAATCCACAACTAATTGTTTTAAATAAAAAGCATATGCACTAATAACATCTAATTCATCATTTATAGACGAAGAATTGCATAATATTTTAATATGTAAATATTCTAGGTTAGGTGTATATTTAAATACTTGCCATAAATCGTCCAAAGAGCATTGAAAAACTGTTAATGATGTAATTGTTGTTGTTTTATGAATACTTGTCGAATTAGAGTTTAGATTTGATGTTAACTTCATTTGAATTTTTGATGGTACTAGTTTAGACAATACGTTACAAGTTTCATCGGTCAATTCATTAGAATAAACATTCGCAAAATCAAATAATAATAATATTATCGATTCAATTTGTTGAGTACGATTATAATCTAGATCAATTAATGTTATTGATCGAAGCTGACTAAATTCACTGATTGAAAAAAATGAGAGAAATACATTAAGTTGACCACATGTATTTTTATTCGATAGTTTTAACGAGATAATTTGATTTTTCATTTGCGGATTAAATAACATTTGATGACAAAATTGATCAAATAACAATTTATTCTTGTGATGAAGATTTAAATGCAATGAAATGCTTCCAACAAGTGTATGAGAACGATAATTTAATTGATCAAATGAATATAATATATCTAATGCACTAAGATATTCGAAACATTCAATTAATATTTCATTTGGCAATTGATCAAACTTCATCGTAGTAGATATGCGATTTATGATAGAAAGAAACTTTCAGTTGTGAATAATAAGTATTTAATTTTCTACACGATATTAAAATACCCAAATATTTTCGATGATTCATATATACAATAGATGAAGAATTGAAATACTAGAGAAATAAAGAAGAAAGAATTTTATTTGTTCTTACAAACTATAAACAATCCATATTCTGTTTCTTTTCATTTTACTTATTTAAAAGAACCAAACATTTTTTTCAGAGGTTATTTTCTGCTAGAATAAACATATAAACAGATACAAGGACATTATATTAAATGAGTTTCAATTACAGGATAGTAATAATAGGATGGAAACCATTCCTTCATTGAAGTTTTTAATGTTTGTTCGATTATATAATGAGAGAAATAAACATTTCCATTAATATTCTAATTCTCTTATTTAAATAAAATCTGACAATGTCGTCTAAAATATTTTTTCATTTGATTTAAATAAAAATAGATTATATAATCAACGAGTTCTGTTCTAAAAGTGAATATATAGAAGATGGAATACTTAGAACTGTCAACGCTTATCTTTACTGGATTTATTAATTAAATAAAAGTTAATCAAACATCTGCTTATCCTTTAAGCATAAATATCGTTCAAAAAAAAAAACCATTGTATAACAATATACTTGCACTATAATTTATAGAATTTTAATAAAGTAAAAGTAATTTATTGAAATTAGCTAATTAGTATAACCGTTATATTCTTAAATGATTTTTTCTACAAAGACAAGTAATTTCAATAGATTGAGCGGCCCCTCAGCAAGGAACTTTTTTATTTTCTGATGGAATTCAAAGAAAATTTCAGAGAAGGTTAGTCTTGACTAGAGTAGCTTATGGTTAAAATATCACCTCAAATCGGCGAGTTATTCACGAGTTATAGTCTATTTATTGGTCAATAGTACCCTATATGCGGACAAGGTTTTCACAATAAGGATACGAGCTAATATATCTGAGCGGTTTTTAGGTTGTAGAGTGTCCTTAGTTCTAGAGTGCGGGTGTGGATGTGGGGTGTGGGTGGGTGAGTGTGGGTGTGGTGTTTGGCGTGTTAGTGAAACGATAGCTACACACTCACATCATTTATTGTTATTCGTATATGTTTTATTGAAAATGTTTAATTCTCTTCGAGCCTATATGGACTGATTCTACGTTACCTCTACAATACTTAATGGTAGGTGAGGTATATGAGAGATTATGATTTTAGTTTTTTTCTGATTTCACCATTTCTTTCCTAGGCTGGCATACAAATCTTATAAATATGTCAGCTTTATTTCCAACTATTTTCTTGTATCTGACTTTTGCAAGTGTATAATAAAACATATTTGTCGGCATATCTTTATTGTTCTCTATAACAAAACATGGTTGAAAATACAACTTCTAGATTTATGTAATAAGATACTGGCATAAAGACTGCTTTATCACTTGCAAATATGAGGATGAATCAGTCGATTTTTCAGTTATGCTTATAAGAAAATGATAAAGCAATATATTCTTCATAAAAATGAAGAAAGTCAGGTGAAAAACGCAGTTGTTTTTAAATAAAGCCTAATATTTTATTTTCTCTAGAATGCCAAAACAATTCTGATACCATAATTAGAAAACACCATATAGACAAAAATGTTTGCATATTTCTTTTTCTTTTAGTGTCCCTAATTTTTATTATGATTGAATATTGGAGGGTGTGTGGGTGTGGATGCTGTTCTGACCAATATCCACACCCACACTCACACCTTACCCACATCCACACTAAATGATCGTTTGATAGCCACAGCATCATCTGAATGACATTTACTGGTAATATTTGACATGACTAGAATAATTGGTGATTGTATATCAGTTTTAGTTCTGATTTTACTGGATAGACTTTGATTATCCACGAAACTCCTGAATTTGTTTTTCGATGATATTTTTCATATAGGCAAAGAGTTTATGAGATTGAAGTTTATTGAATTGTCAAACTGTGAGATTCTATTTTTCAACGGATAAAAAACGATTTATGTGAGCGTGTGCTCATAAAAGTCGATGCTGTAAGCAAAGTATTGTACACTAAAAGATAGAGAGTTTTTTGCTCTCTATTGTGATGACCTTAGCGTGGTTTTAAATGTTGTTGTTCAGGAGAGAAAAAGTTGCGAACTAACATGTCCAAGTATTTTTAGGTGCATCAAGAAAGATTATCTGATCATAAGTCAGACTCGTCCTATTAAATGCTAATTCTCGTATCATCGAATGTACGTACACTTGAACTCTGAGCAAGATGATGTATGTGTTCATTCGGATTAGTTTTTTTCTAATACTTTGAAAGTCATATCAAAAGATGCAGAATTCTGTCAGAATATTTCAAATGTCATCTGATCGATTTCAAAAAAGTTTTTATAATGGTTTCAATTTTCTCACTAGCACGTTAGAGAAGATGTTTATCTCGTTAATTTTGCACAGACGTGAAAATCTATTCGAAAAACAAATTTGACAGTTTCTTTGAGAAATTTAAATTCTCTATTTATTACTGCATATTATATTCAATAATGATGTTTTGTTTGACTTGTTTCTAATTTCTGATAATGATTTAAATAATATTTCATTCGAAACGTTTTACTTTGATTTATTTTTTATGTAAAATCTGTTGTAGATTATATTATGTTGATGATAATCAATGCAAAGCAACCTTTCAAAATAGGACCGATTGACTTAAATGTAACAAGTATTAGTGTAAAATCAAATCGTTGCTGAGTTTTTTTTACATAAGTGTTTTTGAAATTTTCTTCTTTCGCTTCAAATTATTCGATAACTATTAGTTGATCAATTTCTGTTGTTTTTGAATCAAGATCAGTTATGACTGGACAAGTGAAACGGATTATTCAAGTTAGAACTGTTATAATACTTGTTCAATAATGAAAAAATCTGCTTTAAAATGATTTCTTCCTTATATTGTCTAGATTTCAACCACAACAAACATGAATGTCATTTGTAATCTACTGACCAAGAAAATGAACTGTTGCTCAAATATCCAAATTGAACAATTTCTCTTCAGGTGGATGTCAAAATAAAATATTTTTATCAAGAAAACCAAACAAGAGTAGGGTGTAGATTTAGAAGTGTATTCTCGTCATCCACACCCACACCCTCCTGTATGAATAATTTTCATATTTATATTCTCATAAACAATAATAGGCATCAATACTCGATTATTATAGATCTGAACCAAATAAGCAAGTACCAATTTTTAATCCCGACGATTTCCGACCACTGTCAAATCTTAATCAAAACAAAGTAGCAGCTTGGGGATCAAAACAAGTACCAACGCATCAACCAATAACTGAATTTACAGAAATAACAGGTGTTCTTACAGCACTAAATAAACAATTGTCAATTATGACTGAAACAAATATACATATGGCGAAAAAGTTCGAAGAAATGGACATGCATATGAAACACGATGCAGAAGTTTTGGAATTATTACAGAAAACTATGAAAAACACGCTATGTTCAATGCGTGAAGTGATGGAGAATATAGTGAATCCTCTATGTGAGCATGTGAAAATACAAGTAAAAAGAAAACATCTGCATTTTACAACTATTCTGGAAGAGTTACAAGCTGGTACAAGTAATAGATTATCGAAACAAGTTCCCAACACGCATAGAGACGGTCAAACAACCAAAGATATGACCACATTATCTGCATCAAGCAATACGAATACTAGATGATCGTGAATTCAATTCTCAAACCAACAGCTAAGAAATTTTTTCCTTCTTTTCTCCACACTAGACATGTAGAAAGAAAGATGCAATCATTAATACAATTAGATAAGTAGAACTTCACAGAAAAAGACAACGAGTCTACTCGCTGCCTCCTAGATGAGTGGTTCTCTAGTAGTACATTATCCCCAGTTTTACAGCAATGGGAGGAGCATAATAATAAGTACTTGCCGTCCGGAAAAGCTCCTCTGAATATTCTCTGCTATAATGTGGAAGCTTGGAGTACCCGTCATTTAGAAGTAGTAGATCTAGTTTATAAAGTAGATGCATCAATTAGTGTTTTGACAGAAGTTAGTGAATTATGGAATAAGTTTACGATACCTAACTTTAATACGCTTCACCAACAATGTACAAACCGAAGTGGTGGCGTATGTGTTTCGGTGGGAAAACACTTAAGAGCTACGCAAGTTCAATTAGAAGTCAAAAACACTGTAATCGGAGATGTTTTTAATCTCTCTGATCCTATTCGAATCATTGGAATATATTGGCCTCAAGATCAAGAGTGCAACCTCGACGATTTAAGCCCGTTTATAACACAAGAAACAATTATTACAGGAGATTTCAATGCGTCATTAGACGAATGGAATAGCACAGCGTCGGATAAACGTGGTAAAATTTTGAAAGAATGGATAGAAAAAAATAATCTCACATACATTCCTTCTTCTTCACATTCATCAAAACGCTCCCTGAGAAATATCGATCTCACTTTCTAAAACATCGACGGAGTAAATGTTGAAACGATGTGTTTTGGTACTAGTGATCATTGGCCTATTATAATGACGTGCGAAAACATAGGTTATGAAATCAGAAAATTTTTCCCTTGTGCTAGGTGGCATATTTTTGAAGGAATGCTGGCATTTCTTCAAGATTTTTGGATCAAAGAACAAGTTATAACATCAGTGGATGAGTGATATAATAATTACATCCGATTCCTCGTGACATTAAAAAACAGAGTAACTGTGTGGAAAGAAAAAGAAAAATACCGACCATCACTACCACCTCTCATAATAGATAAACTGAAAAAGCTTAGAAGAATAAGAAGTAAATATTACAGAGAGAGAAGGAGCGGCTGACAAAATGAAAATACACGTGTTTTGTTAAGAGTCATAAATCGTGAAGTAAGAAGAGAAATTGCAATACATAAATCGTCTTGTTGGCAATCCTTCTTATCAACAATCAGAGAGAAATCTGATCGACCAGAAAAAACTTTCTGGTCTCACT